CCTGCGAATCATGCCCTTTTAGTAGTTGTATCCTGTGGTTAAGGGTGAAGAGAGCAATATTAATGTACTTACAAGGAGTGAATATGACGCGTGAAGTGCATTAATAGTGTGAACGAAACCAGTACAAGAAAAGAATATAAGAAAAAGAAGTAAAATACCAAGAATTAGATGAAAGAAATGTAATGCTGTAAGAAAAAAGAAAAGACAACTATACAGTGAATCATTATTTGAATATGCGAGAATACGAAATTCTTTAATCTGCAAACTAATAAAAAGAGAAGATAAATAGAATGACCACAAAGTGAAGAAAATAATATATTGTGATGAAATTTCTAAATTAATAAAAGCATTTCCTAAAGATATAGCAGCATTAGATAAAAGAAGGTACTCCTGGGTCTAGTTTAGAACCCTTTTGACCCTGCTTAACCCTGTTAAACACGTTTAGCCCTTCTTATGCGCTGGAATTTCCTCGCCAACATCGCATGACCTCTGGTGCAGAAGAACCTGGTGGTACTCACATCTGACCCTAAACCCTCAAGCCTCACCCCTCAACCCTGGCCCTAAACCCTAAACCCTAAACCCTAAACCCTAAACCCTAAACCCTAAACCCGGAGCAAGTCCAGCTCAGAAGCAAACAAAAACCTTCAACCCCTAAACCCTTGGACCCTGGGCCCCCGGCCCGAATGACCATCTCAACCCTACACCGCAAAGCCTAAACCCAAAACCCAGTTCATCGCGTGCCCAACCAAACCCTAAACCCTAAACCCTAAACCCTAAACCCTAAACCCTAAACCCTAAACCCTAAACCCTAAACCCTAAACCCTAAACCCTAAACAACCCTAAGCCCTGAACCCCAAGCGCAAATTTGGAGAAGCAGCCCTCGCCACAAGGTGCAGGGCATGTCGCCGCCTGTCCGCTTCTTCATGGAGACTGCCACGGACTTGGGTTTAGGGTTTAGGGTTTAGGGGTTAGGGTTTAGGGTTTAGGGTTTAGGGTTCTTGCTTTTTGGGGGGAGGGGATGGGGGGGGGGGGGTCGTTTAGGTTTGAGATCCTTGGGATCTGTGGCTTTGGGTTTCGGGTTTAGGGTTAGGGTTGGGATCCTTGGGTTAGGGTTTAGGGTTTGGGGTTTAGAGTCTAGGGAACCCAAAACCTTCTTAGACATTCGGGAATGACCTTTTCCTGGAGGGTTCAGGGTTCAATGTTAAGAGGTTAAGCTAGGACCTTATAGAGTAGGCACTTATTCCTTTTGTTTGGGCTTTGCGTTCCCTTATAAACCCCTTTAAGCCAAGAAGGGCACCCTTTTTGTTCCTAGGTTACTCCCGGGGCTTTCGGGCTTATAAGGGTTAGGAGAAGGCAAGCGCGTCAAGGCCCCTAAATGCTGAGCCTCAAACCCAGCCGCAGTGACCCTGCTCACGTTAGGCTTAGGAGCCGCGTTTAGGGTTTAGGGTTTAGGGTTTAGGGTTTAGGGTTTAGGGTTTAGGGTTCGCCTTAAACCCCGTGCAAGCCAACCCTGCTTCCACCTAAGCCTTGAAGCCCTCGAACCCTGAAGCCCAGCCCTCCCCTCAAAACCCTTCAGCCCGAAGATCGAAGCCCATCAGGCCGAAGCCCTTGAGAAGGTAATCCCTAAGCCCCCAACCCGAAACCCGAAACCCTAAACCCTAAACCCTAAACCACAGAAGCCCTAAACTCTAAACCCTAAACCCTAAACTCCTTGAAGTTCGGCTTCCGAGGTCTTGTCAGAGAACGGCCTGTCGCACGCGCTCATCTCCGAGCTAGGCGGGTAGGAGGGTTTAGGGTTTAGGGTTTAGGGTTAGGGCTTAGGATTGTGGACATTCTATACAAGGTTCCTGCGCGGAGTTTTGGGCGAGAGGTCTTGGGCGAAAAGTTTTCGGCGGGATTGGAGAGGCTTTTTGGGCGGGTTTCGTTTTTTTTCAGGCTTTGGGGCCCTTGCGAAATCTTTCGGCAGAAAGTGTCTCGGCTTCACGCGCGGAGTTTCGAGCGGTCTGTGGACGTCAGTTTCAAGCCTCAACCCTAAACCCTAAACCGTGGAGAGCCCTTTGGGGGTCAGGGCGGGAGTCTTTTGAGGGGTCCTCTGTGACTGCGAGGCAACTGTGGGGTTGCTCTTGGTTATTGCTGCTCTGATGTGGCAGTTGGGGCCCTAAACCCTAAACCCTAAACCCTAAACCCTAAACCCTAAACCCTAAACCCTAAACCCTAAACCCCTTGTTTGTTGTTCGGACGGGCTTTGGCGGGCTTTGGTCATTGGCCGGTGTTTTACCCTATACCCTACCCTACCCTAAACCCTAAACCCTAAACCCTAAACCCTAAACCCTAAACCCTAAACCCTAAACCCTAAACCCTAAACCCTAAACCCTAAACCCTAAACCTAAACCCTAAACCCTAAACCCTAAACCCTAAACCCAGCTAGGTTTTTTGTCCGGGGTTGGGATCTGTGGAACTCTTGCTGGTGGCGCTTTGTGGGGTGGGGGCTGAAGGGCTGTGCAGTCAAGGGTATGAGGTGGGGTTCGTGTGGCGTTTGCGGCCCAAAACCCTGAAACCTGAACCCTAAACCCAAACCCTGAACCCTAAACCCTCAAGACCTGTGTAAATGGAGATTGTATGTCTTCCCGCCCCTTTCACAAACACCACGTCTGCCCAGAAATAATCCCTCATGGCTCCTCAGACCTTACCAAACAACGGTTACGAGGTGCTGCAGAGGGTTTAGGGTTTAGGGTTTAGGGTTTAGAGGGACATGTCCAGCAAGAAACTTCCAACGACACGACTCTACCCAGTCCGCCAGCAAAAGCAATCACAATATGCCGGCGAAACCCATCCGGAGCGCCACAAACTGCAACACTAGCCAACAACCCCCGGAATGCCACACAATCCCAACACAAAATCCCCAGTCAGCTTATAAGTCCCTAAACCCTAACTCCTAAACCCTAAACCCTAAACCCTAAACCCTAAACCCTAAACCCTAAACCCTAACCCTAAACAGCCTAAACCCTAACCCTAAACCCTAAACCCTAAACCCTCCAAAGCCTGCAGGTCAAGGCCTACAGGCCTGGCGAGCTCCGCGTCTTGCGCCCCTGATGGCGCAGCGCAGGGAGCTGCTCGAAACCAGGCGGTGGGGAGGTTTGGCGTTTGGGGGTTTGGGTTTTGGGGTTTAGGGTTTGGGGTTTATATATAGGGTTTGGATTTAGGGTTTGGGGTTTAGGGTTTGGGGTTTAGGGCTTGGGGTTTGGGGTGTTGGGTTTGGGGTTTCGGGGTTTCGGGTTCAGGGTTTGGCGTCGACCGCGCACGCCTTCTGCTGCGGCTTCTCTTCAGTGGAGAGAGTCAGGCCGTACTGGACCAAGCTCTGCGCGAGAAGCTGTCTTGCAACAAGTTACGCTTTTGATGCACATGTCGATCAAGTATTTCAACGACTCAGATCCCTAAACCCTAAACCCTAAGCCCTAAACCCTAAACCCTAAACCCTAAACCCTAAACCCTAAACCCTAAACCCAAAGAGTCTGCAGAAAGTGATCGGACCCGACTTCCAGCTGGGCATGGTGTGAGCGCTCAGATTGACCTCCACTTATATTTCATTTGCATGCATGGGACCCCCAAGCTTCCCCCAGAATGTGGTACCTAAACCCTAAACCCTAAACCCTAAACCCTAAACCCTAAACCCTAAACCCTAAGCCCTACTTTGGGGGAGGTGCGGGGGGGACCCTCGGATGGTAGTGTTCGGCGGGGGCATGTCACTAGTACATGGGGTCGCCAGCTGGCGTGGAGTTTGAGGGTGTTGGGCCTTTCTGGTGTAGTTAACGGTACAGTATCACGGTTTTTTCGTGGTTGTAAGCCCTAAACCCTAAACCCTAAACCCTAGACCCTAGACCCTAGACCCTAAACCCTAAACCCTAAACCCTAAACCCTAAACCCTAAACCCTAAACCCTAAACCCTAAACCCTAAACCCTAAACTCAAACCCTTAAACCTGAAGTACGGTTTGGGTTTCGAGGCTTTGCCAGGCATTCAGCGTTGTGAGAGGGGGTGTAGGGCTCGTAGCGTGTGCTCCTACAGACTCCTACACCCTAAACCCTAGCCCTAAACCCTAGGCCCTAAACCCTAAGCCCGAAATGGATTAGGGGGTCCTGTCAGAATTTCCATGGGCCCCTAAACCCTCAACCCTAAACGATGCCAGGCTCCAGCTGCACCAGGAAATGCGTGGGCAGACGGAGGTGTGGACTCCCTTCAAGGTTTTTGTTTTTACTTTTTCTAAGGGGGTTTGGGATTGAGGGGTTAGGGTTGGGAACTATGGTTTCAGTGTTGAGGGTTATAAGTTTAGGCTTCAGGGTTTAGGGTTTAGGGTTTCTGATTCAAAGTTTAGGTGTCAGGGTTTAGGTTGTGGGGTTTCCTTGGCCTGAAACTCATGGGACCCTATACCACCCCTACCTTAAGACTGCCAAGACCTACCTCGTCTTGGAAAAGTACGCTCTGGGTTCTTGGGGTGTACCCAAGCAGCCCCCATGCCGGACTCTAGTAACCCTTACCCAGTCATGGTTTAGGGTTTGTTAGGGTTTGAGGTGTCGGGTTTAGGGTTGATAAACCCTAAACCCTAAACCCTAAGCCCTAAACCCTAAACCCTAAACCCTAAACCCTAAACCCTAAACCCTAAACCCTAAACCCTAAACCCTAAACCCTAACAGGCTTTAGCTTCTGGAGTTTGGGGCTTTGGGGTGCACCTTGTGCCTCCCACAGGCCAGCCTATCAAGTGAATCGAGAAGAAATCGCCGCCATGAAGGGGTGATGACATACGTGGAAGGAAGGTTTAGGAGTTTAGGGTTTAGGGTTTCGGGTTGAGGGTTTAGGGTTAGGAGTTTAGGCTGAATAGCATTTTTTGCGGTTCATGCTAGGAACTTTTGGTTTTTTGAGGTTAATGCTGGTATGACCTCTGTTGAGGCAGCCCAACCGTCAGCATCTTATATTCTACCACAAATACAGGCAGAACTCATCGCCATGGCGCGCAAGCAGGCGATCGTTGTTTTCAACGGCTGCTTCTGCCCCTTGAAGTCGCAATGGTGTCATAGGGGCCATTTTAAAAAAATCACGTTCAACATAAGATGTTTACACCTATATAAACGCCCTTGACCCCCAGGCCCTTCCTTTCTAACCCTAAACCCTAAACCCCAAACCCTAAACCCTAAACCAAAAACCCTAAGCCCTAAACCCTAAACCCCAACCTCCCGCACACTCTGGCCAACCCAGGCCCAGTACACGCGGGTCACATTAAGGCCATGGAGGATGCCAAGCGAAAGATTGAAGCTGGTGGGCAGTTCTCAGTGACGGCGGGATACTTCGCTGTGGCTCCCGACGGATATGTCCGGAAGAAGGCCAGCCACTGTTGAAGCTGAACTCGTGTTGATGGCTCTTATTGGCCTAATTCCCCTTCTAGCCCTATATAGCCGGAGCTCTAGAACATGTGTCATGTGTGGCCCCAAATACACCACACCAGGTACAGGTGCTCGAGCCCTGGATGACTGCGGCAGCGCGCGTCGATCTGTGCAAGGCGGTTGCGAAAGATCGCGGATGGGCGATTTCGGCCGCGGAGTTCGAGGGCTGGAAGACTTGCGGCAAAGCCATGGTGGCAGAATACCACGATCCGTCTACCGAGGTTTTCAGTGTGCGTGAGGAAGCCAAAAAAGGAGGCGTAGCCAGAAAGGGAGAAGGGATAACTTCGGACCTAAGCTCCACTAGTATACGCGCCGAGCTGGAGTCACGTGGGCGCACTGTGGAGACGGTCGACGACCTCATCAGGAGAGGGCTGCTAGGGGAGGCCGTGGGAGCTTGCTTAAAGGAGTACTTCACTGCTTCATCATCTGCTAGAGATGGGTCTAAAGACCCGGATGAAGTGAAGGGCGGCGGGCAGCCAGAGGGCAAAGGAGCGAAGTCCTTTAAGGGCTACGCTGGACAAGTCGATGCTGTCGCACGATCTACGGTGCCGAGTGCACCTTCCTTGACAGAAGCCAAGTTCCGAGAGATTCGCGCCATCTACGACGAGCAGACGATCACGGTGTACCAGGCCTACAACGCTGGCATTGCTGACGCAGCGGTCGCCGCCAACTCGTTCCGAGCCCCGATGGAGATTCTTGGCTTTCTTCTGGCTGGCTCTGAGGACTTGAACCTTTTGGGTGTTTTCAAAAACTACAATGAGTCAGCCAAGGTGAGGACTTGAACCTTCTGGGTGTATTCAAAAACTACAATGAGTCAGCCAAGGATTGGTCTCTTCAAGCCAAATCGCATGACCTGGATCAAGCCAAGTGCCGTCTGGATGGCGTACCGGTGTGGCTGGACGACCATGAAGGACAGCCCCAAGGTTGATACATCGTTTTTTTTTTGGGTTTAGGGTTTAGGGTTTAGGGTTTAGGGTTTAGGGTTTAGGGTTTAGGGTTTAGGTAGCCCAGTGGTGCCCTTTGCCCCTTCTTTTGTTCCTGGGTCCCCCTTCTAGAGTAATCAAGCCCAAAAAAGGGTGCCCTTATTACTATGTGGTTGCTGGGCTACTAAGACGATGTACACCCGAAACCCAAATTGCAAAGCAACATCGAGGGTTTCCCAGGCTTCAGGATGTCCTTACAGGATTTGAGGGCTTATCTGGCTTAGGCAGGACTCCTTTCAAGCTTAAGTAGAAGCCAGAAGCCCTATAGACCCCGAAAACCTAAAGCCATTAGAACCTACACTCCTAAACCCTCAACCCTAAACTCCTACACCCTCGGCCCTAAACTCCTAAACTCGCAAATCCTAAGCCCCTTAAAACAATTGACCACAAGGACAAGAATCAGGCGCGGGTCGTTGCTTTGCACCTGTCTCGCGAGGGTTTCGAATCCCTCCTTTCCGAGGCCCAGTTGCTTGGTTCGAGGGTTTAGGGTTTAGGGTTGAAGGCTACTTAGCTGGTTTAGAGTTTGATTAGGGCTGTTTAGGGCTTAGGATTAGGGTTCAATTTGGGCTGTGTGAGGTTTGGGGTGCATGGCTTCAAGCTTTAGTGGGGGGGGGGGGGGGGGGGTTTCTCTGCAACTCCCCCTGCCTGACAGTAGTTCTTCAAATGTTGGGGTTTTAGAGTTTAGGGTTTAGGGTTAGATATATACTTGCTGAGGATCGGGGTCTTTATGGAGGTAGGTATGGCAGGGCTCCCATCAACCTTTGAATGATCGTCTCAAGGCAGTTGACATTTGTTACAGCAGCTGTTCTTTGGGCCTACCCTAAACCCGGCTAAACCCTAAATCCTAGACCCAAATCCCTAAACCCTTTATAAACCCTAGACCTAAACCCTAAACCCTAAACCCTAAACCCTAAACCTAAACGCCAAGGTTGTCACATTCCTCTGCCGCTGAGAAGTGCCGAGACAGCCCCGTCGTGGTTCAGTGGGATCCTGAGCGCGAAATGGACCCGCTTGCCTGCGGCCAGCAGGCGGTTTAGGGTTTAGGGGTTTTGGGTTTAGGGTTTGGGGGTTTTGGGGTTTAGGGTTTGGGGGTTGAGGGGCTTAGGGGTTTAGGGTTTAGAGGTTGAGGAGTTTAGGGGCTTGCCTCCGTCGTGCCTGTTCGGGTTCAGGGCCAAATGCTGCTTTGTCTAAGTGGGTGATACCGGCTTTAACCCTAAACCCCAAACCCCGAATCCCAAACCCCAAGCCCTAAACCCTAAACCCTAGACTCTAAGCCTCAAAAAATAGTTCCGTACAGTGAAACATCCGGAAGTGCAGTTGTGGTTCAAAGGCAGGAGATGCGGGGGTGAGAGCACCCCCGGCTCACCGGTGCTCAGCAGGGATTCAGGGAATTTCGGGGTAGGGTTCAGGGTTCAGGGTTCAGGGTTCAGGGTTCAGGGTTCAGGGTTCAGGGTTCAGGGTTCAGGGTTCAGGGTTTAGGGTTTAGGGTTTAGGGTTTAGGGTTTAGGGTTTAGGGTTTTGGGATATACGGCACCTCATCCCCGAGCTATTTTTCAAGAGCTGGAGGTGTACACGAGACCGCTCAAGGACGTCCGCTCCATCCAGATTGGTCTCCGTGGCGCGGCAGCCGCGAAGTTGCTTGATCCGGCCCTTGTCCTTGCTCCTTGGTAGGGTTTAGGGTTTAGGGTTTAGGGTTTAGGGTTTCGGGTGTAGGGTTTAGGGTTTAGGGTTTAGGGTTTAGGGCTTAGGGTTTTGGGTTTAGGGTTTAGGGTAATTTAGGTAGCCCGGTGGTGCCCTTTTGCCCTTTTGTTTGTGGTTCAAGGTTCCCTTTACACAGTACCCAACCCCAAACCCTAAACCCTAAACCCTAAACCCTAAACCCTAAACCCTAAACCTAAAAGGGTGGGATGCAGATCAAAAAAATATTTAGGATCAAGAAAAATTTATTTAGGATCAAGAAAAAATTTATTTAGGATCAAGAAATAATTTATTCTGTTCTTCCGACGGAGAGAGGGAAGGGGAGGGAGGGAGGGATTAAAGGAGGGAGGGAGGGAGAAGGCAGGAAGGAAGGAAGGAAGCAAGGAAGCAAGGAAGCAAGGAAGCAAGGAAGCAAGGAAGCAAGGAAGCAAGGAAGCAAGGAAGCAAGGAAGCAAGGAAGCAAGGAAGGAAGGAAGGAAGGAAAGGAAAGGAAATGAAAGGTCAGGAAAGGAAACATAACATAACATCATATGTTTTAATATATATATATGTATATATATATGTGTGTATATATTAAAACAAAGTATAGTGGCATAGAGTAGAATAGAACACAATATCGTATAGTACCTTAAACATATAACAAAATCGAGATAACAAAGCATATATGTATATATGCTGCTTTTTGTTATCGAATTCATAATACACAATGCATATTTCTTGTTTGTTTGGCGCCGGGCAAGCTTCTTCAACGCGTATGAATCCCTTCCAAACCCATGATGCGAGCATTGTGTTTGCAAATGGGGGGGGGGTCTGCCCCCCCCTTCAAACCCCCCGCTGTTTTTTAAAGCCGGGCAAGCTTGCTTCAAAGCATATGAATATCCTTTCCAAACCAATGATGCGAACGTTGTGTTTGCAAATGGGGGGGGGCTGCGCCCCCCCCCAACCCCTCCGCTGCTTTCTTAGTCCGGGCAAGCTTGCTTCAAAGCACATGAATCCTTCCAATCCCATGATGCGAGCACTTTTTTTGCAGTAAAACATGAAGACACAATAAGATACAGTGGTATACAAGAATATATTACAAAAAGATGCAACAACATACAATAATACACAAAAACACAACAATGTACAAGTATGTACAAGAAGTTGCAGCAGTATACACGTAAAAAAGAATAACTTAGAATAATTTTCAGTAATTGACAATAATATTCAATAATAGACAACAGTATACAATAATATACAAAAGTATACAAAAATATACAATAAGATACAGCCATATATAAAACATTTTTCAAAAATATACAAAAAAATGTACAGCAATATATAGAAACACAAAAACACAATGACATACAACAATATAAAACAGTGTACAAAATTACAATGATATACAATAGTAGACAATAATATACAATAATATACAATAATATACTATAATATAGAATAATCTGCAATAACATACAAAGAAAATTGAATAATATACAACAATATACAGTAACCTACAAAAAAAGAGAACAATATACAAGAAATTGAAAAATATTCAATAACATTCAATAATATGCAATATTGTACAAAAACACAAGAAAACACAAGGCAATACAAGAATACTCAACAATATAGACAACAATGTACAATAATATGCAAGAATATACAATGTCATACAATAGTATACAAGAATTTCCACAACACTATGCCAGAATATACATGCTTCAGAGTATACGCATTTTTTTGAAACTTCTAATGCCAAGATGCCCGCATTGATTTGCAGCCTCTGCAAACTCAGAAATGCTGCTATTTACAGTATTTCCAGCCTCTGAAATCGCAGAAATGCTGCTATTTTTAGTATTTGCAGCCTCTGGAAACTCAGAAATGCTGCAGTGTACAGTATTTCCAGCCTCTGAAAGCGCAGAACTGCTGCAATATACAATATTTGCAGCCTCTCTGGAAACTCAGAAATGCTGCTATTTTCAGTAGTTCCCGCATAAATGCCGTGTTTTTTCGGTATTTAGAGCTTGCGAAGCGGCAGAACTGCTGCATTTCTGAGCGTTTACAGCCTCCGCTCCGCTTGCAAGAAGCCTTCGAAGCCTTCAGTAAATTATTTTTTGATCCCAAATAATGTTTTTTTTTGATCCGCCTAGAAATAGATTATTTTTGATCCCAAATATTTTTTTTTGATCCCCTACCCTTAAGTACCCTTACTGTGATATGGTTACTGGGCTACCTCGTTCTCGGGGATGCAAGGAGGTATTTTCTAGGACCCAGAGTAGGCCTTTATTCGCGCTTTTTGTAAGGTTTTTAGGCTTTAGGGTTTAGGGCTTAGGGTTTCGGGTTAAACCCCCTTAAACCAAACAGGGCACTTTTTGTTCTTCCTGGGTTACTCCTGGGTCTTGCTTTGGGCGAGTGACACGAGGCCTCTTTCTTTTTACGCAGCATTGATGAAGTTAACAAGGCCCCTCAAAAACCTTCAGCCCAAAATCCCTATTCCTCAAATCCTAAACCCTAAACCCTAAACCCCAAACCCTACACCCTAAACCCTAAACCCTAAACCCTAAACCCTAAACCCTAAACCCTAAACCCCACACCCTAGCACAGTCAACCCAGGAGATCACGGACGAAACCGCTCGGTTCCGCCAGGCTGTCGCGGCACTGGAGGCGGGGGATGCAGCCCAGGCCGCAACAGCCCCTGGGATGCTCCTGTGGTAGATGGGTAGTTCATTCAAGTGGGGTCCCTGTCCGGGGTCCTCTTTATAGCCCTAAACCCTAAACCCTAAACCCTAAACCCTAACCCCTAAACCCTAAACCCTAAACCCTAAACCCTAAACCCTAAACCCCAAACCCCAAACCACTTGAAGAAGGATCCCCACATCGGGCTCTTCCAACCTCAACTGAGGGCCCCAGACCCCTTTTTGTGCCTCATCCTGCGTTGCTTGGGCACTGAGGCCTTATGGCCAAGCCAGCAAGAAGCCTGGCAAGGAAAATGGCATAGGCGGCGGGTTTAGAATTTAGGGCTCAGGGTTTAGGACTTATAAGGTTTAGGGTAGTAGCTCTTCAACCTTTCCTGGTAGCCCACATGGTAAACTTTAAATCCTGAAGCCCGAAACCCCACAGTCCATGAGGAATTCGACGCCCAAAAAGCAACCCGACAGCTTGGACAGCTTAAGTGTTTCGGGATGAGGGTTCAGGGCGTCGGGTTTCAGGTTTAGGGGTCGAGAGTTTTGTGGACGGAGCACAAAGGAGAGACCGTTCCACGTGCCGCCACACCTGATGTCAGTGCTCGGTATGCACATGACCACTCCTGAAGACGCCTGAGAACAGGATTCAGCGTACAGGATGCCTTAACCCTAAAGCCTTCAGGGAGACTCGTACCCCTAATGTTACACACCCAAAGGGTTTCCCTGCATATATTCCGAACATGGCCCTTACCTTCCCTTAGGGGATCCCTAAACCCTAAACATCCCTAAACCCTAAACCCTACACCCTAAACCCTAAACTCTCTTCTGATCTTTAGAACGGGTGCCCAAAGCCAAGGGTAGGGTCCGAGGAAGAGTCCCTTGAGCCCTACCCCAAAGCTCAGCTGATTTGTACAGATCACAGTAAGACGTCTCCCTGAGGCGAGAGGACCGCGACCCTTACTCTTTGAGGTTTAGGGTTTAGGGTTTTAGGGTTTTGGGTTTAGGGTTTTGTTCTCTTTCTCCCTCACTCTCATTCTCTCTCTCTCTCTCTCACTCACCCCTCGCCTCAATTAGACTCTTGCTCTCGCCGCGCTCAAAGAGTCAGGTGAAGATAGGACTCCCCCGCATGTACAGCACGAGCTTCACACCAAACGAAAAGCAATCCATAGCTTTCTTGGCTGTGGTTCCCCTAAGAGAACACCAAGCCCTAAACCGTAAACCCTAAACCCTAAATACCCTAAACCCTAAACACCCGGGCTTGGGGTTCAGGAGTTCTGTGCATCCGGCCTGGAGAGCGAGACTTAACCTGTTTAGAGCTTGGTAACGGGAGTCGTTTGGGGGTATTGTGGTTGAGCTTGCGGCTCATGGTATCAGCGCTCCTGTAAGCCAGACACGCTGGGGCTGAAGGTTTAGTGCTTGTCAGGCAGGTTCAGGACAGCGGGGGAATGAAAGTAGCTTCGACATAGAGCGCGACTTCAGCATGTATGATTGAGCCTTTTGGGAAAACCTATCAACCCTAGTCCCCAGAGTCCTTATGGCTTGCCTACGAACCCTACAATTCCTATATCCCTCAGCCCTACAAACCCCAGAAACCCTGTAGTCCCTATGTCATAGCCCCTGTACACCCCAGAATCCCTTGGACCCTGTAAAACCTGTAAGCCCTAAACCTCCTTTCTCCTAGACACCTAATCCCTAAACCCCAAACCCCAAACCCTAAACCCTAAACCCCTAAACCCCTAAAGCCCCTAAAGCCCCTAAACCCCTAAACCCCTAAGCCCCTACAACCCCTAAAGCCCTAAAGCCCCAAAACCCGTAAAACCCCTGAACCTGGTACCAGGGGCCCCACCAGCGTGAGATGCAGAGTGTGCTTCAGAGACTCCAGCAGGCGGAACAGGCGATGCTCCGTTTCCAGGGCCTTGGGGGGTTTAGGGCTTTGGGGATTAGGGGTTTTAGGTGTTTTAATTAGGGGTTTTGGGGAATTAGGGGTTTAGAGGCTTACGGGTTTAGGGGTTTTGGGGAATTAGGGTTTAGTTTAATTAAGGTTTTGGGGTTCGGGGGACCTTTAGCCTAAACCCTAACCCTTAAACCCTAAACCCTTGCAGGGTTTTAAGCTCTTCAGTGTGGGGCCACCCCCCCCCTGGCAGCCCTCCGCCCTAAACACTGGGGTTTTTGGATATAGGGGTTCAGGGTTTTAGGGTTGGCATGTTCCCCCTTATGCTAAGAGTCCCTAATACGGATTGTAGTTTTCCCGACCATACTGCTATGAAGGATTGTTAGTATAAGGGGGAACATCCCAAATCTACGGTGTTTAGGCCCTAAACCCTAAACCCTAAGCCCTAAACCCGAAACCCCAAACCCTAAACCTAAACCCTCAACCCTAAACCCTAAACCCTAAACACTCTGTACTGGCTGTGGTTTCTGGTGTTAAGGGCTTCTGGCGGGCGTAGGCCCAGGCAATCTCATGCGGCCAGTTGTCCAAACTCGAGGTCACTTCTTTGCACGGCCGTTTTGCTCTGGAAAAACACCAAGAGCCCTAAGTCCTCAACCCTCTAAGTCCTAAACCCTCTAGGTCCTAAGCCCTAAATCCTAGACCCTAAATCCGAAAACCCTAAGCCCTAAACCCTTGATTCAGCTGTTAGATTCCCAGCTCCTAGTTGCAGGTGTAGGCGAGAGATTTCGGGGATGTAGATGGCGCTTCAGGTGGTTTGGATCAGGGGTTTAGGGTTTTGACTTTGTGGGGGTCCCATCCTACACTGTAAACTCGAAACCCTAAACCCTAAACGATTCTTGGGCTTGGATTGGCCAGGGGCTGGAGCAGCTCAACATCACCTTGGATACCTTCTGGGAGGAGGTTCCTGCAAGCAATATAAGCGCCCTCTAAGGCTCTCAGGCACTAAACAACCTTATGCTGTAAGCCTGGCAATCCTAAACCCTAAGCCCTAAACCCTAAACCCTAAACCCGAAACCCGAAACCCTAAACCCTAAACCCTAAACCCTAAACCCTAAACCCTAAACCCTAAACCCTAAACCCTAAACCCCTCCCTTGTCCCCTGACAGCCGAAAGCTTTGCCGCTAAATCTCATTAAGGGCTTAGGGTTCATGGAAATTAGGGAGTTTAGAGAGTCCTAAGGGGTTTATGATTCTGAGGGGTTTAGGGTTTAGGGTGTAGGGTTTAGGCTCCAGGGATTCGAGTTCGAGCTTTTTGGGTTTGGAGTTCGTCGGTCTGCTGCGGTGTCCTCCGAGCTCGCGCTGCTTCACATGTTTCCGGCTCATCCTTCAAACCCTAAGCCCTAAACCCTAAGCCCTAAACCCCAAACTTAAACCCTTAGCCTCAAGCCCTAAGCCCTAAACCCTAACTCCTAAACCCTAAACGGAAAGCCTGGTTCTCACAAATGTGACGGCTTGGGCCTTCAGACTCTTTTTTGACTTCAACTTTGGGCTTTCTGGGAATTTTCGGGATTCTGTCTAGGGTTTACGGTTGAGGCGAGGTTCCGCGCTTCCCTAAACCCTAAACCCTAAACCCTAAGCCCTAAACCCTAAACCCTAAACCAGCTTGTAGGTGCAGGAGGGGTGGTGTTTGCGTCCAAGCCAGGCCGACGTCATGCTTCGATGACGACCTCGCTCAGGCAAGGGCTCTCCTGCGGCAGACGCTGAAAGACGTCGAAGAAGCGCAGAGGCATTTAGGGTTGAGGGTTTAGGGTTTAGGGTTGAGGGTTTAGGGTTTAGGGTTTAGGGTGTAGGGTTTAGGGTTTAGGGTTTCAGCTTTCAGATCAGCAACCTCCGCGATGCGACGTCGATGTCATCTGCGCCAGCCGATCCATCCCACACGAAGGAGGTCTCAGCGACTTTTGCCGGCAGATGGCCCTTGTGCTGTACCCGAGGGCGGCCAAGAGCCAAGGACCCGGTAGGTGAACCCTAAACCCTAAACCTCAAGCCCTAAACCCTAAACCCTAAACCCTAAACCAAAATTCCTAAACTCTAACCCCTAAACCCCTAAACCCCTAAGCCCTAAACTCCTAACCTCCTACATTCCAGCCCAAACCCGCGCGTGAGGTGGCCGCCATCAGTGACCTGTCTAACGAGATGCAAGGCTCTGCCCCCCTCACCCCCATCAAGCTTAGGGCTTCGGGTTTAGGGCTTCGGGTTTAGGGCTTAGGGCTTAGGGCTGAGGATGTGCCAGGTGAGGTTGGGTTCATGATCTCGGCTTTGGCTTGGTGTTTTGGGGGTGGTAGGATGGCGATTTCAGGGTTTCGTGCTTCGGCCTCGGGCTTGAGAGATGTTTTCTCGGGTTTAGGGTTTAGGGTTTAGGGTTTCGGGTTTTGGGGTTTATATATAGGGTTTAGGGTTTGGGGTTTAGGGTTTAGGGTTTAGGGTTTGGTACCCAGATTATGTCTTGGGCCGCCGTACGTCGCGGACGCACCTGTTCCTGCCAGCACCCTTGAGATTCGAGACATTGAACTCCCTGCAGACCCGAAACCCTAACTCCGAAACCCTAAACCCTAAACCCTAAACCCGAAACCCTAAACCCTAAACCCCTAACCCTAAGCCCTAAACGCCGCATCGGCCTTTACGCCCCGCAAAGAACCAAAGCCCTGAAACCGCAAGCCGGTCTTGCCAAGTTGCTCGAGATCCTAGAACTGAACCGCCGTGGTATCCTTGTTCCCCCCCCCTTGCTTCGGGGGTTTAGGGTTTAGGGTTTATTGTTTAGGGTTTAGAGTTTAGGTTCAGGGTTCAGTTAGGCTGTTTAGGGTGTTCAGGCTGTTCAGGGTATAGATTCCCTTTGGTTGGTTTGGAAACGATGGGCCCCCCCAATCCCTATACAACCCTACAGAACTCATAGAAGCCCTAAACCCTGCACCTTGCACAATTTTGGTGTTTCCTTCCAGTACACCCTAAACCCTAAACCCTAAACCCTAAACCCTAAACCCTAAACCCTAAACCCTAAACCCTAAACCCTAAACCCTAAACCCTAAACCCTGAACCCTGAACCCTGAACCCTAAACCCTAAACCTACCTGCAGGCCTGGGAGTTCGGGGTCCCAGTGATGTTCCGAGCCCAGCCACGCTGAAGCACCTCTTCGCTGACTGGGCCCGCGTCCCAGCTCAGGGGGCGAGGAAGTTTGGGGTTTAGGGGTCTGGGGGTGTAGGGGTTTAGGGTTTAGGGTTTAGGGTTTAGAGTTTAGGGTTTAGGGTTTAGGGTTTAGGCCTTCGGGTATTGGGTTTAGGCTTTGGGTTTAGGGTTTGGGGTTTAGGCTTTGGGGTTTGGGGTTCAGGCTTTACGGTTCAGGGCTAAGGGATTTACCTACGTGTATGCGGAGATGCGATGAACCTCATTGCAACAGCATCGAACACAGCAGCGTCTGCTAATATCTACGCAAGTAGTATATTACAATACACGTCTGCAGGTGGGAAGGACATCAAGTATGTGCAGTCGCGACAAACAACAGACGACAGAGCTTCAAGTACCGCCCATTAAATCCACATCACTCAAACATACGAGCATGAGAACCGGAGAGCGTTCGTTGTTCTGGTTTGGGTACCTGTTCGGAGACTTTTGTCGGGGGGGGGCTTTCGGGTTTAGTCTTCCCTTTGGGGAGGGGGGTGACAGAGCATACCGAGGAACATGGTGCTGGCTGTACCTTCTGCCACTTCCGCCCCCCCCCCCCACCCACCCCCACCCCCCCCCACCCCCACCCCCCCCCCTCCACCCCCCCCCCCCCCACACCTCCCCCCCGCCCCTTGTCCAGCGTGGAAGCCTTGACGTCCGCGGCCAAGCCTGCACCCGGGTCTCTAAACCCCTGATCCGGTTTAGGGTTAGGGTTCAGGGTTCAGGGATCAGGGTTCAGGGTTCAGGGACCAGGGTTCAGGGTTCAGGGTTCAGGGTTTAGGGTTTAGGGTTCAGGATTCAGGGTTTAGGGTTTAGGGTTTAGGGTTTAGGGTTTAGGGTTTGGGGGTCCAGTAGGCCCTAGCGAACCCCCTTGTAAATCCGAAACACTCACACCGCGGAGTCTGAGCCCCTAAACCCTAAACCCTAAACCCCAAACCCTAAACCCTAAACCCTAAACCCTAAACCCTAAACCCTAAACCCTAAACCCTAAACCCTAAACCCTAAACCGAGCAAGGCCTGGCACCTGAACTGCCCTGTCCAGCTCCTCTTTGGGTCGCCCCTGCAGTGTGCCTCTCCCAGTGGTTAGGGTTTAGGGTTTAGGGTTTAGGGTTTAAGGTTTAGGGTTTAGGGTTTAGGGTGTCTCAATGAATGGGCGCGCTGGTGCTGAAAGCACCCAGGCGCGCGCCCCGATTTGCATAAGCCCACCCCCGCTGGCGCTCCACCCTCGCCTTAACCTCTACGGGTTTAGGGTTCTTTTGAACTCTGATCGTGCTTTTGTTAGTTTTCTCTTGTCTATTGGTTGGGTTTAGAAGCTCGGCATCGATGCAGATCAACTACCCTGAAGCTCGCAGCCCCTACGCATTGCAAGGGAGATGTCTATCAGTCGAGGGCTGCTGGGAGAGCCAAAAGTCAGAGGTTTGGGCTTGGGGTTGGCTGCCGCCTTCGCCCTCTGATGCTGCGTGTTGGGCGGGGATTTGGGAAACTTGCTTGGAAGGGCGGGAAATCAGAGGTTTGCATCATTCGAGGGCTTCTGGGAGGGCCAAAAAGTCAGAGGTTTGGGATTGGGCTGGCTGCCGCCTTCGCGCCTGAAGTCAAAGGGGTGGATGGGCGGTTGCTGCTGCCTTCGCTTTCGCTGATGCTGCAGCTGGACCTTGTTGAAGTCGTGGTGGCCTTGTGAGTCTTTTTAAAAGTCAAAAACCCAAAGGTTTGGGCTTGGGGCTGGCTGCCGCCTTCGCCCTTGCTGATGCTGCGTCCTGTTGGGGATCTGGATCCCTTGCTTGAAAGGGCCAGGCACCTCAGGCCAAGGCCTGCTTTTCAGGCAGGGTTCAGGCCAAAGGTTTCCGGCAAGCAGGAGATCCAGTCCCAGGCAGGGGGCCACAGCCTCCCAGCAAGTTTTTCTAAGAGTTAAAAACCCGAAGGTTTGGCTGGCTGCCGCCTTCGCCCTTGCATGCTGCGTCCTGGCTGGGGACAGCCAAGGCCAGGGCCAGGGGCCATGGCCAGGGCCAGGGCAGGGTCAGGGCAGGGTCAGGGGTCAGAACCAGGACCAGGGCCAGGGCCAGGGCCAGGAGCCAGGGCCAGGGGCCAGGGCCAGGGCCCGGGCCACCAGAGCAGGGCCAGGACCAGAGGGCCAGGGCCAGCCAGGCGCCAGGTTGCCATGTTTTACCCGAAGGTTTGGGGTATCTTATTCTAGGGCGACCTGACGGGTTTCTCGCCAGCGACCTGCCTGGTCCACCGCGCAGCCCGCAGCTGCCTGCGGGACTGGAGCTCCGTCGCCCGCCGGAGGGCTTCTGGCTCCGGAGCTGCCTCGCCTGCCGGCTTCGGCGCGTTCGCCCTGCTCGACGGCCCCGGGCTCACTCAGTTTAGGTGTTAGGAGTTTAGAGGCTTGCGGCTTTTGGGAGGAAAGGTCTTCGCGGGTTTTGGGCAGTGTAGGGAGTTTCGTGGCTTTAGCTTCGGGCTCGGTTTAGGTTTTCGGGGTTTCGGGGTTTTGGGGTTTTGGGGTTTTGGGGTTTAGGGTTTAGGGTTTGGGGTTTAGGGTTTAGGGTTTAGGGTTTAGGGTTTAGGGGCTCAGAGGTTCGGCCTCTTCTTCCCTGTGCCGGGCTTTGGCTCAGACATGTTGCGGGGTGCTGGAGGTCGAGGACCCAGTGTGTGCCCGTCCTCCCTTTTTTGAGGCTGTAGGTTACCCTTATAACCCCCTTTAAGACAAAAATGGGTGAACCCTAAACCCTAAACCCCAAACCCTAAACCCCAAACCCTGAACCCCAAACCCTCAACCCTAAACCCTTTTTGTTCCCAGGTGACTCTTGGGTCCAGAGTTGCAAGCTTGAAACTTGACCGGCCGCAGGAAACGCGGGGCCTGGACCCTGAACCCTGAACACTGAACCCTAAACCCTAAACCCTAAACCCTAAACCCTAAACCCTAAACCCTAAACCCTAAACCCTAAACCCTAAACCCTAAACCCTAACCCCTAAACCCTAAACCCTAAACCCTAAACCCTAACCCTCAACCCTAAACTCATCCGTGTTTTGAGGCGCCGGGCCTTTCTTGGTCGAGGTGCTGAAGGACCCGGCTTGAAGTTTGTCATAGCTTGGGGCCTTTGTCGTTTTGACCCCCCCAAGGGTTTAGGGTTTAGGGTTTAGGGTTTAGGGTTTAGGGTTTAGGGTTTAGGGTTTAGGGTTTCGGGTGTGTCTCGAAGCCGATAGGGCGCTGCTACCACGCGACTCTACCTTGGACCCCGAAGTTGGACCCAGGGGTTTAGGGACCCTTTCTGCAGATCCTTAAGGGGATGAATTATAAGGGCCAGTATTAGGAGCATGGTAAGGGGGAGCTCTTGGGGGTACATCTTTGGGGATCCGCGTCTGAACCCCATGATCCTACCTGCAGGTGAGGATGTTTTAAGCTCACTTTTGGGGACACATGTTCTGGCCAGCCCCATTGCATGAAGTACCTACACGGGGAACCCTAGACTAGAATATCACCCCATGCCTCGTTGACAAACCCAGCACACAGCACACGTAGAGCTTCGCGCCCCCGCAGTCCCAAACCCATGGCGGTTTGCAAGTTTCAAGCCCAATCCTATACTTGCCTTTCTGGCAGCTGCACGTAGCTACACTCGCGTAGTCCGTTCTAAGGAGCGTAGGTTCGAATACCATCTTGGTTTGCTGCTAGCCCTGGGCAAGCCTACCCTACCTTAGGAACCCAAAGCCCAAAACCTACCTTTTTGTAGCTTACCTAAGCAGCACAAAACAGGTTCTAGAACAAGAGCCTGCAAAAAAGCAGGCTTGGGGTTCTTAAGGTGGGTTAGAATCCCACGTGCGCCGAGAACCCTCTCCTGAAGCCCTGAAGACGCACTGGAGGTGAGCCGAGGGTGGGACCCTAATTCTTGAACCCTCAACCCTGGCTTAGGCTTAGGGGTTTATCGTTTAGGGTTTAGGTTTTACGGTTTAGGGCTCGGGTTGAATCCCTACACCTCGAACCCTAAACCCTGAACCGTTCTGGCACCCACCCGCCCCCGAAAAGGAGCTCGGCGCAGAGATGGGCCGTGAGCTCTTCGTGATTTCCGTCATCGGCATCCAATCCTCGGCACTTCTCTCAGTGGATGCGACCTCAACTGTTCCCCCTAATCGATTTAGGTTCAGGTAAACCCTAAACCCTAAACCCTAAACCCTAAACCCTAAACCCCACGCCCTAAGCCAAAATTTCAGTCTCAGAGGCCAAGAGCACCTTGATGAACTTCCTCTTCGGATGCGGTTTCGCGACCTCAGCTGGCCGCTGCACGCGAGGCCACGGGCTTAAGCCTTAAACCCTAAACCCTAAACCCTAAACCCTAAACCCTAAACCCTAAACCCTAAACCCTAAACCCTAAACCCTGTCCACCCTTGCACCTTCAAAGTCCTCAAGCCGAGCTCCATGTCTAGGTGGCGGGCAGCTAAACCCTACCGCCTTTAGCAGAAGTATGGGGCCCTTTGGGTTGTAGAGGGTATAGGGTTTAGGGTTTAGGGTTTAGGGTGATTTAGGGTGTAGGGTTTAGGGTTTAGGGATATTTAATCTAAGGGTATTTGCATGTGCCTTTAGCATGGTCCCTTACCTCCTTTACAGGGATCTGAGGCATAGGCCCTTGAGCTGTATAGGATATATATCCCTAAAGCCTAAACCCTAAACCCTAAACCCTAAACCCTAAACCCTAAACCCTAACCCTAATCTACGGGGTACATAGTTACATCGTCCCATGCCAGGGCTCTACTGCAGCCTCATGGAGTGCGAGGAAAGGACGCCCTGCCTGCCCTGTCTTTGGAGTCGTAGGGTTTAGGGCTTAGGGCTTCGGGTTTAGGGGTTTCAGTGGTTGGCTTCAGGGGTTTGGGGCTTCAGTGATTTGGGGTTTCAGGGGTTTGGGGTTTCAGGGGTTTGGGGTTGAGGGTTAGGGGTTTGGGGATTCGGGGTCTACTCTAAACCCTGAACCCCTGCAAGGTCTCTTTGGGCTTTGGGTTTGTGATTTTTTTGGTGTTCTAGGCTTCGAAGGATCTTGCCTCACAGTGTAGTCGGGGTTCAGGCCTTCGGGGCTCAGGCTGTAGGGTTTAGGGTTTGAGGTTTAGGGTTTAGGGTTTAGGGTTTAGGGTTTGAGGTTTAGGGTTTCGGGTTTTTGGGCCCCCGACCCAGAATCGCGAGGCACGGTTGCTCAGGCTCTAGGGTTTGGGGTTTCGGGTTTGGGGTCAGGGGTCCCCCAGACCCAGAACCTCGAGGCAAGAGACCGTAAAGCACGGAACTCCCAGTCCGGAGTTCAGGAAGTTTTCCGAAACTAGGGATAGTTTATTGGGGTCCTTATATATTCGGAAATCCCACTATTTGGGAGGTCTATCTTGGGTGTACCCCAAATTCTGTTTTAAACCCCACAGATGCATAGAAGGAATTGAGCTAGTACACACTTTGTGGAAGCGCTGCTCTTGAATTTCCAGCCCTCGAGTTCTGAAGGCAGTGTGCAAGAGAGGCCTCTCCTGCGCAACAAGGGTTTCGGGTTTAGGGTTTAGGGTTAGGGGTTTAGGGTTAGGGTTGAGGGTTTAGGGTTTAGGATTCCCTAAACCCTAAATCTGCGGGAATGTGGCATGAAGGCACACTGCATGGGTAGCCTTACCAGGTCCCACAGCGATCCGGCGCAACTGAAGATGCGGAGTTGTGCCTGTGCCAGTGCCGTGGGTTGGACAGCGACTCTGGGCTGAGCGTCAGAATGCACAGTCGACCGTGCCACGAGCGAACTCCGGCAAAGCGAACCGCAAAAGCGATACCCTCAGTGGATGTCAACCCTATGGACGCACCTTTGCAGCCAGGCGTCTTTTGGCCGCACTTTCGTGGAGCGCCGTCTTACATACAAGCTGAATGTTGTTGTATACACCCAGGAGTGTCAAGGTCTCCGATTCTACCTCCAAAATCCCGGGGCCTAAGTGTAGGGTTTAGCGGTAGGTGAAACCCTACCCTAGCAACCCTAACAACCCCAAACCCAAAATCCCCTAAACCCAAGAAATCCCCAGACCCCTAAACCCTAAACTCGAAACCCTCCCCACGAAATATCTCCGAGACTTCAGCGGCCAGGTTGCTCATCTTGGACACAGAGGGTTTGATGAGCCTCGAGGTTCGTTCAGGGTTGAGGGTTGAGGGTTGAGGGTTTAGGGTTTAGGGTTTAGGGTTTAGGGTTTAGGGTTTAGGGTGGAGGGTTGAGGGTTGAGGGCTGGGGGTTGAGGGTGGAGAGTTGAGGCGGCGTTCATGGTTTAGGGTTGGGGGCTTGAGGGATCTGCATGCCCCGGCTCCCATTGCCAAGCCCAACCAGACCTTAAAGCCTCTTATCGCACACAGTCATGGAGGAATCCTGTTCAGGGTTTAGGCGTCTAGGTTACTTATAAGCCGAAATCTCAACCCTAAGCCTTACAGTATAAACCCAGCCCCTCAAATGCACTGAGACTACTTTGTCTTACACCCAAAGCCCTAAGCCCTAAACCCTAAACTGCAGGTCGCATGTTTTTGTAGCATCTCAACTGCTGGATCGGCGGCATTCTCGCCCGCAGGATGGTGTTTTAGGGTTTCGGCACTGCGTTTGCTTGTCCGGCTATTGCCGACCGAGACATCAACAACACGCAAAGCCAAGGTGTAACCCCAAACCCCAAACCCCAAACCCTAAACCCTAAACCCTAAACCCTAAACCCTCATTGTGTGGGCGTGACACACTTCAGCACCTGTACTGTGCGGCTCAGGTGACCTAATCACACAGCGTCAAAGGTATGCTTGAAGGTTCATGGGTAGTTGTAAGTAGGGTTGTCTGTAATTGACCTAAATAGAGCTAAGCCCAGCTACAACCCAAGTTAATTACCCCCGGTTCTACCTGCGCGAACCGCCAAGTGCTTTGCCCGTGCGCCACCTGTGGCTGCACAGCACGCCGTTGCCCAGACGTCAGCGCGACACACCTGACATGGGGTGCTGTAGAAAAACCTGCAGGATCGTCCCTCATGCGCCTACAGGCCCCCGAGGCCCTTGTGGTTGCTACGGCGCAGACTTCATATGGTCGCTTCTCTAAACTGTTTTCCCTTATTTTGCTGTCCTTATTCTGAGGCCGCCCCTCTTGTTTCGGGTACCCCAAAAGCGACCGTGATATAGAAGAGTCACCATCTGTGGGCGGGTCTGGAAGGCTAAGAAGCAGTCTCCTGGCCTGTAGTTTGATGCTGAAGCACGGCCTTTGGTCGCTTCTTTTGGCATCCGTACCATGGTGAACCACGCGCGTAGGATTAGGCTTCAGGGCCTATAGGGTGTATGTGGGGTACAAGGAACTGTCTTTGGGCGCCAAGCTTCCTGCTATGTAGCCCCTTTTGAGCAAAAGTATCTGGCACATGGACCCTAAACCCTAAACCCCAAACCCCAAACCCTAAACCCTAAACCCTGTGATCCCACGCGTGTCCTTGCGCAGGCCGAGGGCGGAGGCATCTTCGACGCCCAGCTTGCCTTGATGGCCATGGCCTGCTCCCACCTGGTCAGAGCCTCAGGGACTCTGAAAGCTCACCGGAAGTCTGTAACTAGGGCTTAGGGTTTAGGGTTGAGGGTTTGGGGTTTAGGGTTTGGGGTTTAGGGTTTGGGGTTTAGGGTTTAGGGTTTAGGGGTAGCTTGTATACTTAAGAACCCTGCCCCCAAAACATGTAACCCCTGCATTGCCCTTAAAGGGAAGATTTGTTTACTATTTTTGTGGCGATTCTTAAGCAAACAGTAGTGAACTGTCGATAGCCAGTGTGGTTTGGGGTTGAAGGAGTGTAGGGATCAGCTTCTTCGTAGAAGATTCGAGAGCCCGATTGAGGATTGGAGAGCCAAAGTCCTCAAGAGTATTTTTTGCTTAGGGTTTAGGGTTTAGGGTGTAGGGTTTAGGGTTTAGGGTTTAGGGCTTAGGGTTTAGGGTTTAGGCTTTAGGGTTTAGGGTTTGTGGCTTCCTGATCTTGTAGGAAGATCCGCTTACCTTGTTTAAGTCCATACAGCTGGCCCTAAACCCTACACCCTGAACCCCAAGCAAGTAGCCGCCCTAACCCTCACGACCTTCAGGGGAGGCAGCCCTCGGAAAAGCACAGTCTTGCCCTCAACCCTAAACCCTGAACCCTGGACATCCCTCCGCCCTAGAAGTCTTGTAACCCCAATAAAGCCCTACAACGTCTGTAAACCCAAAAGCCCCAAGCGCCGGAAATCCTTAAACAAAATCCATCTCCTCAAAACCCTACTTCCGAAATACCCGACCTCCGAAGGAAAAACCCATCACAATAAATAACTAGCAATGAAAACATCACCCTATAAGAGACCGTACCCCTGTAAGCCCTGCACCCGAAGGTCATCATCAACCACAAGGGTGAGTTGTCACGGCAGTTGCAGGACCTGCTGGAGGCGTGTGGGTTTAGGGTTTAGGGTTTAGGGTTTAGGGTTTAGGGTTTAGGGTTTAGGGTTTAGGGTTTAGGGTTTAGGGTTCGGGTTTAGGGTTTAGGGTTTAGGGTTTAGGGTTTAGGGTTTAGGGTTTAGGGTTTAGGGTTTAGGGTTTAGGGTTTAGGGTTTAGGGTTTAGGGTTTAGGGTTTAGGGTTTAGGGTTTAGGGTTTAGGGTTTAGGGTTTAGGGTTTAGGGTTTAGGGTTTAGGGTTTAGGTCTCCTACATCCGACACCTTAAAGCCCTACAATCTTGGTTGCGGGTTTAGATGTTTAGGAGTTTCGGGGCATAGGGGTTAGGGCATAGGGCATCGGGTCGGCTAGACACCCTAAACCCTAAACCCTAAACCCTAAACCCTAAACCCTAAACCCTAAACCCTAAACCCTAAACCCTAAACCCTAAACCCTAAACCCTAAACCTTGTTTAAGCAGAAGTAGAGATGGCGACAGATTGGCCACTGAAGTCCTGTGCCTAGGCCCTACATCCCAGTCGCCCGAGACCTGAAACCCCTGACGGCTGGTTCTTAGTAGGGAATGAGGGCCCCATATATATATATATAAATTTATATATATATATATAATATCTTTTTTATTCATACAAGTAGATAAATAAAGTAATTATATAACATATGTGTATATATACCTTTTAAGCGATTTTTTTAGGGGTGAAGACGGAGTACTGTCCATCACTTAAGCTGTCAGTCCGGAAGCCTCAACCCTCAACCCTACACCCCTACTTTCAGGAGTCTACGGGCCCTAGGGTTGAACCCGAAACCCGAAACCCTAAACCCTAAACCCGAAACCCGAAACCCGAACCCTCTTTTTTATGGGGTTTATGTAGGGTTTGGGACCGTGCCACCGCGGAGACCCACGCTTGAAATTTGCTGCACGCAGCTCTAGAGCAAGCTACCTACCCCCTGGAACCCCTCTCCCTTAAAGACCCTACAACTTAGGGGCTATTTGGCCGCTACTGACTGAGGTAGATAAGGTATGAGCATCAAGGAATGATAGGGTATGTGGATGAAGTGTTTTTTTTGAGAGGGGCCCCTCCAAATACCGTACCTACTCGTAAAGAGCTGCCGGGAAAAGGCCAACGGCAAACAAAAAACATCCAAATCAAAACAAAGAATAAAAAACTCACAGTAACTTATCACTAGGTTCCAGGGTAGGTTTCTATTCCCTTTTTTGTAGGGTTTGGGTTCCCTTACAAACCCCCTTAAACCAAAATGCCAAAAAGGGCACCCGTTTTATTCCTAGGTTTCTCCTGGGTCTTGTTACGAGTACCCTAAACCCTAGCCCTAAACCCTAAACCCTAAACCCTAAACCCTAAACCCTAAACCCTAAACCCTAAACCCTAAACCCTAAACTTTCATCCCTGCAACCTCGGTGACGAGCCCTGCTGTGACAGGTCTGCCTCTTTGCCATGCAGCACCTCAAGGCACCTTATCCCAAGAACACGCAAGAACTCGAAGCGTTCCCCCTTCTTTTTTCGGGGTTTAGGGTTTAGGGTTTAGGGTTTAGGGTTTAGGGTTTAGGGCTAGGGTTTAGGGAACTCGAAAGAAAGGCACCCCGTAACCCTGAACCCTATCATGTGGGGCGTTCCGCCTTTTTTTTTCGGGGTTTAGGGTTTAGGGTTTAGGGTTTAGGGTTTAGGGTGTAGGGATTCTCCCCTTTTTACTGAATTATCAATAGCGGGTACCATGATCCCGATTAAGGACTGTTAGTATAGGGGGGAACATCTCAACCTGCCACCCTGAACCCTATAAACTAGATAGGCCCTTGGAATATTTCATGTTTTTTTATTGGGCTTAGGAAGATCGTATGTTGAAGTATTTTCCAGAGGGTGTGAAGGGCCATCCTAGTAAGAAATTCAGTAGGGTTGAGGGTTGAGGGTGCAGGGTTAGGGCTCCTGCGTTGGGTTCTTGGCCCTCGTTGGAATATGCTACAGTCCTGCCCGACGTGCCGCTCGCACACCTACCTTTGGTGTTTACTTGCAGCTGTGCAAGGGGAGCCCCCCTCTTTAAGGTTTAGGGGGGTTTAGGGATGTTGGCCAAGTAGGAGGGCCTTAAACCCTAAACCCTAAACCCTAAACCCTAAACCCTAAACCCTAAACCCTAAACCCTAAACCCTAAACCCTAAACCCTAAACCCTAAACCCTAAACGCTAAACCCTAAACCCTAAACCCTAAACCCTAAACCCTAAACCTAAACCCTAAACCCTAAACCCTAAACCCTAAACCCTGGCTTTTTTTAAAGTGGAGCACCAATTCGGCGTGGCCACGCCCCCTCCCAGGTGTGCCGAATTCAGCCGAAGCTGCTCTTCGTGCTCCGCGACCAGCATGACAGGCACGCCCCCGACAGCTGTGACTCGTTGAGGGTTTAGGGTTTAGGGTTTAGGGTGTAGGGTTTAGGGTTTAGGGCTTAGGGTTTAGGGTTTAGGGTTTAGGGTTTAGGGTTTAGGGTTTAGGGGTTTCCACAACCTCTGAAGTCTGCATCCGCATATCTCATGCTGATCTAAAGCCGCCAGTCGAAGAAAGACCGACAAACAAGCAACACCCTAAACCCTGAACCCTGGAGCTAGGAAGGTTCCTGTTTTGAAGTCCTCTTGTCAACCCTAAACCCCAAACCCTAAACCCTAAACCCTAAACCCTGGAACACAGGTTTACGGTTTAGGGTCACCCCGAATGATTGGGGAAACATGGGGGAGTCATCGAGGCGCACGAGACCATCCCGGGCTCGCGCCTAAACGTAGAGTTTAGGGTTTAGGGTTTAGGGTTTAGGGTTTAGGGTTTAGGGTTTAGGGTTTAGGGTTTAGGGTTGATGAAGGGTTAGGCTAAATCCGAAACCCTAAACCCTACAGCCCACAGATCGATTAAACCCCCTGTAAGTGTGAACACCCCCCCCCCCCCCCACTTTAGGGTTTAGGGTTAAGGGTTTAGGGTTTAGCGTTTAGGGTTTAGGGTTTAGGGATGCTATAGGATAGGATAAGATCTTGCCACTCACCCTAGGACACCAACAGCTGTCGATTCCACGCCTCGCGGGTTACGCCTTCCTTTTTCTGTGTTCTAGCATACCATCTATAGGGTTTAGGGTTTAGGGTTCCGGGGCTAGGGTTTAGGGTTTAGTGTTTAGGGTTTAGGGGTTAGGGTTTAGGGGTTAGGGTTTTATGTTTAGGGTTTATTACATATACATGCGTACTCTTGCACGGGTGGTGGCGGTTCGACCTGCAACCATGATTTGAAACCCTCAACCCTAAACCCCAAACCCTAAACCCCAAACCCCTAAACCAAACCCGGAACCTTGTATGACTTTGGAACATTAAACCCTAAACCCTAAACCCTAAACCCTGAACCCTGAACCCTGAACCCTGAACCCTGAACCCTGAACCCTGAACCCTGAACGTGTCGGATTCCAGGTCCCACGCCGTCCATGGGGATGCCCTGCGCCTGATGCGCAAACATTTGTCTGAGGCGTTGTTGATTTTGGTTCAGCGTTTAGGGTTAAGGGTTTAGGGTTTAGGGTTAAGGGTTTAGGGCTTAGGGTTTAGGGTTTAGGGTTAGGGGGGGGCTCAGGGTTTGAAGGTCCTAAATGGGGTTAAACCCTAAGTCTAAACCCTAAGCCCTAAGCCCGGCAAACACTGAATCCCTGGGCTTATGGTCTAACCAGGATTTAGGGTTTAGGCTTAGGGTTTAGGGTTTGGGGTTTAGGGTTTGGGGTTTAGGGTTTAGGGTTTAGGGTTTGGGGTTTTTGGGGGCTTAGGGGCTAGGGCTTACTAAGCCCCAAGAGTTCCTGTTTGGGGCTTAGGGTCTGGGATTTAGGGTTTAGGGTTTAGGGTTTAGGGTTTAGGGTTTAGGGTTTAGGGTTTAGGGTTTAGGGTTCTGGCGCTCGTGGCTGCTTCTGAGGCAGTTTGAGGCCCAGCATTGGGGGGCTACGTTTGGGACTTGGGAAACTCAGCGCAATGATGAGCCCCTTCCTCAAAGCCTCTCGACTCATCGGAGAAACCCTAAACCGCAAATGCTATAAACCCGAAACCCGAAACCCAGGGCGTGTCTTTCAGGAGCCAGATACTGCAACATAGCAAGGGAAGCCCCTAAACCCTAAACCCTAAACCCTAAACCCTAAACCCTAAACCCTAAACCCTAAACCCTAAACCCTAAACCCTAAACCCTAAGCCACCTAGCATCAAGCAGCCCTCGAAACCCGTCAACTGCGTGGCTGTTCGGGACCCCAATCAAAGTCTATGCACTTATCGATATACAAATTAATACATAAGCATACATACATACATACATACATACATACATACATACATACATATATATAGAGATACATATATAGACATAAAGATAAGTAAGGATACATACAAATAAAACGGGTCAATGAAGAAATTCATTTAGCACAAATGAAAAGACAGTATGTATACATGAAATAAGTTAGATGGCTTCGCAGCTGACGACCCTCAACTACACCTTGGTTCATCAGCAAGCCGTTTAGGGTTTAGGGCTTAGGGTTTAGGGTTTAGGGTTTAGGGTTTAGGGTTTAGGGCTAGAGTTTAGGGCTTAGGGATGGGAGAGCCTGTGCAGGCTTCCAGCCATCTCCAGCTTCGCGGGGGGACTTGGGGTACAGGGTTTAGGGTTTAGGGTTTAGGGTTTTGGGTCTTGGGTTTTGGGTTTTGGGGGTTTAGGGTTTAGGGTTTTTGGGGGTTTTGGGTTTAGGGTGTTCGGGGGTTTAGGTTTTAGGGTTTAGGGTGTAGGGTTTAGGGTTTTGGGGGTTTTGGGTTTAGGGTTTTTAGGGTTTTAGGGTTTTGGGGTTAGGGTTTGGGACATGGAGTTTGGAGTTTAGGGCTTAGGGTCTTATAGGGTATTTGGGTTCAGTGGTGTACGGTTTTAGGGCTTCTGGTGTGGGGCACACTTTCCCTTGAGGTAGTTCCGGGGAAAATCATCATAGGAGTCACCCTAAACCCTAGACCCTTAACCTATAGACCGTACCTAAATCCTATGTCGTCCCTAAGGTAACCCCTTGTAGGATTCCTAGTTGAAACCTACGTATTTAGGGGAGCTCGCGTGCTCTGGGCTCGCTTCAGAGGTTCGGGGCTCAGGTTTTGGGATTTAGAAGCCGCATGAGTTCAGGCCCCGCAACGGGGACCAACATGCTGTTGGCTCACGATCTTGGACTTAGAGCCTAAACCCTAAACCCTACACCCAAATCCTAAACCCCAGGGAGTGAGGTTAGGGGGTTTGGTGGTTGGTTGGTTGTTTTTTTTGGGGGGGGGGGGGGGGGGGGGGGGGGGGGGGGGGGGGGGGCGGGGGGGGCAGAGGAGGGGGCGGGGGGGGAGGGGTGGGGGTGGGGGGGGGGTGCGTTGTTTAGGGGGTTTGAAGCCTTGGTGCCTTATACATCTTAAAAGCCCTGCGGTGGCCAAGGACCTCGGGGATACCTGCAAAGCCCTGGTAGTGACCAGGCGTGTCATGAAGTGCCTGATCAGTGAGTGTACTCCGCCGGCACGGTTGCAGTCATGAGGAGCTTTCTGGACCCTGAATGTTTGAGCCCGAGCGATGACGACATAGACACGCCCGGACTGCTTGGGCGATCCGATGCCCAGGCAGAAGTGACCACTAGGCTGTGCAGCCTTGCCAGCCTGACCCGCTTACCCGTGATGCATGGCATCATCGATCAGCAGCCATGAGAGCACTATGTTCATTCTCTTGCCCAGGTTCCAGCATCTCGATTTGTCGCGGATATGTGATCCGACAGCCGGACGCAGGGCATGGTTTCGGGCGTTGTGAGAATGCATCTTGGCATGTCATAAGAGTTGGGGTAGGGTTTAAACCCCTCGAAGCCGGACCCCCCAAGCCCAGACCCAGCACCCCTATATATATATATATATATATGTGGCCGAGACCTTTAGGGTCTATTTGGCCATTTCCTTTATACCTAAGTACACAATCGTCTTTTGAGGTCCGGGAGTTAATTTTGAGCTCTGGGAGCTAATTTTGAGCTCTGGGGCTTTGGGAGCTAATTTTGAGCTCGGGACCCGGGAGGAGTTACTTTTGAGCTCCGGGAGCTAATTTTGAGCTCCGCGAGCTAGTTTTGAATTTCGGGAGCTAATTTTGAGCTTTGGGAGCTAATTTTAAGCCCCGGGAGCGTTAAGAGCTAATTTTGAGCTCCGGGAGCTTTTTGTGAGCTTGGGGAGCTAATTTTGAGCTCCGGAAGCCAATTTTGAGCTTTGGGAGCTAATTTTGAGCTTTGCGAGCTAATTTTCAGCTCCGGGAGCTAATTTTGAGCTCTGGGAGGTCATTTTGAGCTCCGGAGCTAATTTTGAGCATTGGAGCTAATTTTGAGCTTTGGGAGCTAATTTTGAGCTCCGAGGAGTTGATTTTGAGCTCCGGGGAGCTAATTTTGAGCTCTTCTGCAAGTCAATTTTGAACTCCGGGAGCTTATTTTGAGCTTCGGGAGTCCGGGAGCTAATTTTGAGCTCCGGGAGCTAATTTTGAGCTCCGGGACCTGATTTTGAGTTCTGGGAGCTAATTTTGAGCTCCGGGAGCTATTTGAGCTCTGGGAGCTAGTTTTTTGCTTCTGGGAATTAATTTTGAATTCTGGGGGCTCTGGGAGCTAATTTTGAGCTCCGGTCCTCTGTCTCTTACTAAGCAGGAAGAAAGCTTTTATTGCTGAGTAGGGCATGAGAAACCATGCTGTATTTCCGATAGCAAATGAAAGGTGGCCCTTAAAATTTAATGGGCATGACAGAGCTGCTTAATCTTTTAGTATGACATGCACACGTCTCTTTTTTCACTTCTTCATGAGCCTCTAGGTCTTCAGCAGAAGCGAGATAGTTTCTGTATCTCTGCCTTTTGTACAATGGGACATGAACAATCTCGTTTATCTTCTAGGAAACGGCTATCTCTTAATAAAAATGATGACAGATAGAGCTCTTTGTTTGTTGCAAAAGAGTTCCTCTGCCCTTAGTAAATTCAAAAAGCTCTTGTACCTCTTGAAAGCAAATAGGGAGCTACTATGATTCGCAGGCTCCTCTATCTCTTTGCAAGAAATGAGATCGTTCTCTACCTACCGCTTGCGAAAGAGCTCCTCTACCTCGCAATCAAAACTACGGAAACTCCTCTGGCTCTTAATGGGGCATGAGCAAGCTCCTCTACGGCTATCTTTTTTCGGAAAAGAGGGTCTCTACCAAATAGAAGGTCGCGAGAGACATCCTTTATCGCTTAATAGGAATGACAGAGGTCCTCTATGATCGGAAACGAGAAAGCGCCCTTGCCTCTTATGAAAGGGCCCCGCCACCTCCTAATGCACAATGAGCAAGCTCTTCTATCCTTTTCGTCAACAAGTCATGAGAGGGCTTCCGTCCTTAACTCTTTTTTAGGAAATGACAGAGCTACGAAAGAGCCTTTCTTCTACTTGAAAAAGTGAGGACAGGTTCTCTAGCGATTAATAGGCAATCAGAGAACTTCCTTATGTGTCTTCAATGAGAGAGCTCCTTTATGTATCTTTAACTCTTGCATGAGAGAGCTCTTCTATGTCTTTCTCGGAGTGACAGAGCCCCTCTCTCTCTTTCTATGAACGGGAAATGAAAGGTGCTCCTGGACGTGACAGAGCTGCTCTATTTTGTAGCGGTGTCTAATATTTCGCCCTGTCACATGAGGCAGCTTCTCAGCTTCTTCTCTAGGCCTTAATTGGAAACTACTGTGCCTTCTTAAGTGGATATTAGAAAGCACATCTATCTTCTAGGAAATGACAGCGCTCCTAAGAAATAGTGACGCCCCAGTACCTTGAACGGAACGAGAAAGCTACTGGGGGGGGGGGGGGGGGGGTGGGAGGAGCGCTTTCATTTCCCATAAAAGATGGAGGGGCTTTTTCATCAGAGAAAGAGGGGGTCCTTCATGTTCCGCTCGAAGATAGACGAACTCCCTCATAAGAGAATGAGCTTCCTATCAACCAAAAGATAGAGGAGCTGTCTCACAAAAGATACAGGAGCTCTACGACCACTCCTCTACTGCTTGAGCTTCAGCACCTCTTCAGGGAAAGAAAAGAGCTGCTGCATGTTGTAGAGGTAGCTCTGCTATCATTTGCTAAGAAATGAAGAGCCCCCTCTATCTCCCAACATAACATGAGAGAGCTCCTATAAATTCTCAAGACATGACAGGCAGGGCCCCCCTGCCTGAGACGAAAGAGCTCCTCATCACTCAATAGGCAATCACTGAGCTCAAGTGCATAAGAAAGCTTCTTGATCTCTGGAAAGGCTTCTGCAAGAGCTCCTCTATTCCTTTCTAGGAGAAGCAGGAATGAGAAAGCTCCTCGGGGCGCGTTTTCCTTTCCTAAAACAAGACGAGGCTCTTTCAGTTCCTACGCCGAAAAGCAGAGATATAGGAGCTATCTCACAAGAGATTCAGAGAGAAAAGCTCTTGTATCTCTTATGAGAAAGCTCGGCTATCTTTTAAAAAATGAACTGGCCCCGGAAGCCCCTGTGTCTCTTCATACACCCTTCAAAAAAAGTGAACGACAGAGCTCCTCTGCCTCTTGCGAAGGAGCTCTTCTGCCTTTTGAAAACTCACAAAGCTCCTTTACCTCTAGCAAAGAAATGGTAGAGCTCCTCGATCTCTGTCTTTTACATGGTATAGAGCTTGGCTCCAGAAAACGCTATATCTCTCCGCAGGAAATGAGAACGTTCTCTACCTACCTCTTGTGAAAGAGCTCCTCTCCTCGTAATCAAAACTTGGAAAACTCGTTTCGCTCTTCCTAGGGAGCGAGCAAGCTCGTGTTTCATCTTTTTCAGAAAGAGCGCCCGTATCATGGTCACGAGAGACCTCCTCTGCCTTTTACGAAAGAGCTTTCTTCTGCTTGAAGAAGTGAGCCCCTTTCTCTTCCTATGAATAGAAAATGAAGGCGCTCCTCTTAGTCGGACATGACTCAGCTGCTCTATTTTGTACGAGACCGTGAACGGCTTCCTGTTTCTAAGTTTCGCTATGAGACATGAGAGAACTCTAGGCCTTCATAGGAAACGGGAGATCATCTCTATCTGTGCCTTGAAAAAGTGGACATCAGAAGGCACATCTATCTTTCTAGGAAATGACAGCGCTTCAAAGAAATTCTGACGCCACATTACCTTTGAAAATGGAATGAGGCAGCTACTGGGCAAAAAAGCGCTTTCGTTTCCTGTAAAGGATGGAGGGGCTCATTCATCAGAGAAAGAGGTCCTTCATGTTCCACTAGAAGATACTCTTTGAGCTCTTCAAGGGCAAGAAGAGCTCCTGCGTCTTTGTTTGAGGTGGCTCTGCGATCGTTTAGTGAGACATGAAGAGCCCCTCTAAATTTTTCAAGACATGACAGGGCTCCCCTGCCTGCTACGAAAGAGCTCCTCTGTAGCGAAGTCTCGAAAGAACTCAAAGAATTGATGTGTCTCTTCATACACTCTTCAAAAAGTTGAACGACAGAGCCACTCTGCCTCTTGCGAAGGAGCTCTTCTGCCTTTTCTCTGGAAATGAAACGGTGGAGCTCCTCGATCTCTGTCTGTTACATGGCATAGAGCTTGGCTCCAGAAATCGCTATATCTCTTCGCAGGAAATGAGAACGTTCTCTACGTACCTACCTCTTGTGACAGAGCCCGATGAAAAAGCAAGTTCTTCTATCTTCTCTTCTCGTCAACAAGTCATGAGCGGGGGCGGGGGGCTCTCGCCCTTGCCTCCCTGTTAGAAAATCGCAGAGCTCCGTTGCCTCTTACGAAAGAGCCTTTCTTCTGCTTGAAGAAGTGAGCCCCTTTCTCTTCCTATGAATAGAAACTGAAGGCGCTCCTCTTAATCGGACATGACTCAGCTGCTCTACTTTGTACTAAACCATGAAGGGCTTCCTGTTTCTAAAGTTTCGTTAAGAAACATGAGACAGCTCTAGGCCCTCATAGGAAACGAGAGAGGGTCTTTATCTGTGCCTTGTTAAGTGGACATCAGAAAGAAATGACAGCGCTCCTAAGAAATAGTGATGCCCCAATATCCTTGAAATGGAATGAGAAGCTACGGGGGGGGGGGGGGGCTCTTTCAGAGAAACAGGAGGTCCTTCATGTTCCACGCGAATAAAGAAGAACTTCTTAACAAGAGAATGAGTTTCCTATCAACCAACAGATAGAGGAGCTGTCTCACAAGAGATAGAGGAGCTCTACGAAGCAAGCATGAGAAAGCTCCTCGGATTGCGGTCTCTTTTTAACAAAAGCGAGGCTCTTTCGGTTCCTATGCCGAGAGAGAGAGGCCGTCTCCCGTGTCGGGCCCCTGTCTCGAAGATCTCAGGCCATTTAAGGAAGTAAATGAATTTCTTTAAATGGCCTGGGATCTCTGAGAAGGGGCACGCTTTAATTCATGGGACTCATTTAATTCGGGGCCTTGTCCTGAGAATAAAATGAATTAAAGGAATTAAATCGGGCCCCCCGTATCAGAGATCCCAAGCCATTTAAAGAATTAAATCAATTAAATGAATTAAATGAATTAAATGAATTAAATGAATTAAATGAATTGTTTAATTAATTCATTTAATTAATTTAATTCGGGGCCTTGGCCGGAGAATTAAATGAATTACATGAATTAATTAACTAATTCATTTAATTCTTTAAATGGCCTGGGATCTCGGAGAAGGATGCCTGATTTAATTAATTTTAATTCATTTAATTCGGGGCCTTGGCCGGAGAAT